ATCACTCAATAAATATTAAGTAATTTTATAATTATTATATAAACCCTATATATCAACAAAGTCAAAAGTTCTCAACCATTATTTTTTTCCTGACACAACTGAGGAATGCAGTATGTTATAGTCTTAGCAAATGTTCATTGAGAGCACAGCAGTCTTGAGAGGAAGAATGTGTATTTTTGTGCCAGTGTGTGTATTTGTGTGTGCACTCCTGTACTCAGACTTTGCCATCCTCAGAAGGCACTCTAAACAATCAGTATGAAAGAAGATAAGAATACCAGTTGAAAAAAGATACTTAACAAATGATTCTGACAACTCTCTCCTCTTCCCAGTGAGAATCCTAAGGAAAAAAATAATGTATTGTCAAAGTTTGGCTTGAATTAATAGATAAAGAGAGTCAGATAATAAAAGGGTTAGATTATTTCTACTCCAGGAAAAAAAAAGAGATGAGATTTATAAGCATATTTAAAACACCTAAGAAAATTAGTATATGTTAATGACAGTATTTTAAATCAGTGAGAAAAGGAATTAAAAGGATTTAAAAAAAGGATTAAACTGACAGTGGAAAAAATTGTATAGCAATATGGGAAAAAAACAGTTAAAATATTAAAAAAACATGAATTAGTGTCTTTATAATCTATAAATGTGCTAAAGATTAATACTATTGACTACGTAAAATTAGTTTTTAATTATTGATAAAAAATATCTAAAAAAAAGAAGATAATGAGAAGGTATTTACAATTCACATCACAAGGAGTAACAATTCTAATATGTAAAGAACTTCCAAAAATCTGAAAAACTAATAGAAAAATAGACAAATAATATAAGCTTACAGTTCATACTTAAAAAGATGAACACCATCTTTAAATACATGATAAAATGTTCAAGCTCTCTTAGGTTGAGATATATGCAAAGTAGAGTGATACTTAATGTAAAGAATCTCAAAGAAAGGAGATACAGAGACAAGGTGAAGGGGCAGGGAAGGTGGCAGAGTAGCTCCTTGTCCAAGCGGCCACATTTATTTATACCAACAGGTTACATTAGGTCATCAACCAAAACCACAATATTATCAGTAAAGTTGCTTATGCTGCAGTTACATTTCACAATTACAATATGCCATGTTAGGAGATTTGTGCAATTCTCAAGAATGTCAGTTGTCTGAAGTTACTATTAGGCAGGCAGCTCCAGGAGTACCAGAGCTTGATGAAACATTGTAGTTATCAAGCAAGCAACTTCCTTTATTCCCAGGAGCTATGTGCCTAAGATCAAGGTGGAAACCCTTTTGAAGAGCATTTCTACAGTGGCCAGGCATCCCATGTCTTTGATAGAGAGGTTTCCCAGTAGCTAGGCATTCTGCGCCTTTGTCCAGAAACTTCCCAGAAGCCAGGCATTCTGTACCTTTGCACAGAAACTTCCTAGCCACCAAGCATGCCACAATCACCAAGAGTATCAGAGACCCAATCCCAAACACAGAACTCAGTTTAAATGTCAGATCTGGTCTATATGGTATCGAGTATCTGACCTAAGTATGTGATAAAACAAACTGTTGATGAACCTATAAAGAGGTACTCATGCCTTGTTGGTGAAAAAAAAATGGTAAAACCTCTTAGCACTACCTAGAAAAATTAACATTCCATTTATTTTTTATCTGGAAATCATGTAAGGATATATTAGCAAAAATACAAAACAATCAACCACAAGACTTAAAGCATTGAGATGTTGTTTTTAATAGCAAGAAATGAAAAATACCTAAGATAAGATCAGTAAAAATGAACTCCTCACATAAATTACATATTAATGCAGTTTTAAGCAACTAATATCTCCAAATACTTTTCTGGAATAATAGACAAGATATTTCATAAGTGAAAAATAATAATGTGCCAAAGAGTATATCTACAATGCTGATTTCTATGTTAAAATGGAGATACATATATATTAGATTTATATGTATATGTAGATGTATAATATTTAAGTAAGCATTTTAAATAGAACATGATAAACAACAAAAAGTTTTCTTTTGGCAGGATGAAGAAACAGGGCAAGGCACAGGGATAAAAGCCGGGTTTTTCTGAATATATCTTATCTTATGGTTTGGCTTTGGAATCATATAACTATTTTCCACATACTTAAAATTAAATTAAATCAATAGGAAAAGAAACTTCAATCTCAAAAAAAAATCACATTTAAACCAAAACAAGTAATTCAGTGGCATTTTAATTGGGTGGTATAACATCAGAGAAAATAATCATTTCATTAGACACTAAGACAAAGTCAAAGTGATGTGGAATATATCCTGAAAATGGAAAACATAAAATGAACCAAAACTTCTTACTTGCTATTAGCAAAAATATTAGTTTTACTGTTACAGAAATGTTTTGAGATAAAGTAAGTAAATAATTGTGTTAATAGCAATAAGAGTCAAAATTGTCAGCATTAAAGAAGATACAAATTAAAACACCAAATAATCTTTTTCTTATTTGAATTAGAAATATAATTTCAGCAAGTCAGAGGAAAACAAGTTCACAGTCACCCTCAGAAATATGTCCCTCAAACTTTTTATAAGAGGAGAAAATGATGCAAAGGAGCACAAAAGACCCTGGGAATTAGACCACAAAGGTAGAAAACCGCAATCTATAAGCCCAGGTGAAAATACTCAGAAGAAACCCTTCATATCTGGCCTCCATAACTGATAAAATAAATGTCTGTTGTTAAAGCTACTGTTTGGCAACCTGTGGTATGATAGCCCCTACAAATTGACACAGTGACTTTCCCCAGATCATTACTGAAGAAAATACAATTGAATCACATCACACTCCACCATCATTGAAAGGTTGAACTGCTGTAAGAAATGACCTTTGAGTGTATCTTTTTCCCCACATCCTCGTCAACACTTATTATTGCTTGTGTTCTTGATAATTGACATTCTGACTAGAGTAAGATGAAATCTTAGAGTAGTTTTGATTTGCATTTCTTTAATTGCTAGTGGTGATGAACATTTTTTCATATGTTTATTGACCAGTTGTATTTCTTCTTCTGTGAAGTGTGTGTCAGTCCCTTAGCCCATCTATTGATTGCATTATTTTTATTTATTTATTGGTGTTAAGTTTTTTGAGTTGGGGGGGGAGGGGAAGGTACACTCATACATTGCTGGTGGGACTGAAAATTGGTACAGTCACTCTGGAAACCAGTATGGAGATTCCTCAAAAACTTGGAATCAAAACACTATTTAACCCAGCTACCTCAGTTGATACCCAAAGGGCTTAAAATCAGCATACTACAGTGATGCAGCCACATCAATGTTTATAGCAGCTCAATTCACAATAGCTAAACTGTGAAACCAACATAGATGCCCTTCAAGAAATGAATGGATTAAAATATGTGGAACATATACACAATGTAATATTCCTCAGCCTTAAAGAAGAATGAAATTGTGGCATTTGCAGGTAAATGGATGGAACTAGAGAATATCATGCTAAGGGAAATGGGCACATCCCAAAAACCCAAAGGCTAAATATTTTTTTCTGATAAGTGGATGCTTATCCACAGTGAGAAAGTGGGTAGGGAACAATGAAGAAACTTTGGATTATGCAGAGGGGACTGAGGGGAGGGTTAGGGTTGTGGAGATGGGAAGGACAGTAGAATGCAACAGGCATTATTACCCTATATACATGTATGATTACACTACCCATGTAACTCAGCACCATATGCAGCCAGAGGAATGAGAAGTTATTCTCCATTTGAATACAATGTGTCTGAATGTATTCTACTGTCATATATAGCTAATTAAAAATAATTTTTTAAAAAGAAATGACCTTTGAGAGATCAGTAGAGAAAAGCAACTGAAGTGAAGGAAGC